GAACGACCACTCATCTTGGGCACTGAGTTCCCCTGCCCTCGAGAACCCCAGCGTCTCTCCCACCAATCTCCTCAACTCGTTGAAGTTGGCCCTCTTGAAGTCTGGGGCTACTTCCTTACTGCAGGCCCTTGTCACCCTGTGCTGGATGATGAATTCCAGCAAGCGATGATCGCTATCACCCAGGTGGTCAAGGACCTGGAGGCCCCTTACCAGATCATCGCCTATGGCCAGGACCAGGTCCAACAGGGCATTTCCTCTGGTGGGACTGTGCACCTCCTGGGTTAAGTGGAGGTCCTGTATCTCGGCCAGGAACCTCCTGGATCCGTCCGACCTGGCTGACTGCTCCTCCCAGCGGATGTCCGGGTAATTTAAATCACCCATGACAACTACATCCCTTGCCTTAAGTGCCTCTGCAAGCTGGCCCGAAAATTCCCGGTCCAGCTCCTCCCCTTGGTTGGGGGGGTCTGTAGTTGACCCCCACCGTTACATCCCTCTCCCCACGACCCCCTTGTATCTTGACCCAAAGCACTTCAGCTTGCCCCTCCTCCGACCCTCCTCCTACAGACTGGCTTGGTGCCAAAAAGATTTTCAGGGCCCTTGCAGGGCCGGATTAACCCTTTAGTGGGCCCTAGACAAACAAACTCATGAGCCCCGGGCTGGTCAAGACGCTCCTTCCCACCCTAGTGCTGCCGCCTGTGGGGAGCAGGGCTTGGAGCCAGCGCTAGGAAGCAGCCACTGTGACGGTGAGGCCAGTAGAAGGGCAGGGCAGGGCCCTAGACATATGCCTAGTTTGCCTATGCGTTAATCTAGCCCTGGTCCCTTGTAGTCATTTACTCTAAAACACCATTTAGCACTACCCTCTTCCTGTTGGAAATCTCAGGATAATATATAGGCTTTTCAGTCATCAAATTCAGCAAATGAACGGGGTGGGCTAAGATCCAAGGTCCCTTACTTGAAACACTGTTTGCATCTCCCTTTTTTGCATCACTCAAGTTGTTTAGCTGTGTACAATCTCCCTGGCAGCCTTGAAGATAGGTACAATAGTTCTTTAGCTATTGGCTTTGATGCACTGAATGATGACCAATGGTAGGTGCATTGCCTGCCAGTTAGTACCTGGTGAGAGGAGATTTAGGTTCTACGACTGATGATGAAGATGATAAACTGAGAAAATATAAATGCTAAGGAAAAATTAAAACCTTTTTTGAAGTGTCAGTAGATTGAAATTTGATTCTTCTTATCACGGGAAGGTGTTCATCTTATAGTCTTGGTCTCTTCCTGGCAGCTAGAGACTTGTACGTTTCTGTTTCTCTTTTGATCCCAGCTCCTTGCCAGAGACATTGTGACTTTGCACAAGTTATACCTTTGTACCTCAGTTTGTCTATCACAAACTTAGGTATAATAATATTAGCCATGCATAGAGGTTGTGAGGCTAATTCAAAGAAGGCTTTGAAATCCTTGGATGAAAGGAACTATATAAAGTGAATGCATTATCCTCAATAGTAGTACTAGTACTAGTATTGCAGAGGCAACAGAAGAACAAGACTTCCGTTTTTAGCATTTGAAGAAGAACCACCCCTAGGGATGGCAGTGTGTTTATTCTCCATGCCATTCATCCAGTGCTTGGCCTCATCTGAGGGTGTTGTTACACATTAACTTGAATGTGTGTTAAGGGCCATTAAAACAAAAGTGTCCACACATTAGGGCAGAGAAACACAGTGCTAAGGGTCCTCCAAGTGGCTCAGAGATAATCCTCTTCGATTGAGGATTGTCTGTAACTGGTTTTGAGCAGCTCACGTTGCAGTCATGTATGACTGCTCCATAGGTCCAAAGCCAGTTGGGAGTGGTCCTCCAGCATCCCAAGAGGAACCACTTCCAGCTGCTCTATCTTTCTTCATAGTGACAGCACCTAAATGTAAGAATCCCTCCTCCCCTCCCACTCCAGGTTTTTCCTGGCTCCCAGCGCCCCCCCTGTTCCTGCTCCCACCCCTAGGGCTCCTCCCCTGCCCCTTAGGACTTGCCTCTGCCCCCACCCCACTGGTCCTCATGGCTCACCTCTGGTTCCTATATCTCCCAGTTCACCTGTAGGTTCTGATACTGTCCTAGGGGAGCAGGGAGGGAAGAGGAACTCATCTGCCTAGCCACCACCACTGTGGCTGGGCTGCTACTGTTCTTCAGGCTGAGCCCAGCCCAGAGGGTGGCTGGAAGGCAAGTTCCCCTTCCCTGATTGCTCAGGTGGGACAACTCCAGGAGTTGCAGGTGAGCTGGCTGCTGGAGGGGTGGAGGGTGTGTCCAATCTGAGGATGCAAGGGGGCTGGCCTGATCGGAGGCAGGGCAGGCAGTGCGGTGGGCCCAATCCTGGGAGGAGGGGGCATTGATGATGTGGCAGGTCTGATCTGGGGGGAAGGAGCAGACACTGAGCCCAGTGCCAGCCTGATGCAGGTGTGGGGGGTGCGAACCTCTTCCCCTACTGTCCTGGATCAGGCCTGCACCCTGGATCCCTGCTCACTGCCCCCGTCCCCTCACCCCAGGAGCTCCTGGTTTAACCTGCGGCTCCTGGCACTGACCTGGTGGAACAAGCAGGGAAGAAGAACCATCCTGCCACCACTACTTGCTCTCTGGGCTGGTCTCAGCCCAGAAAGTAGTAGTGGCCTGGTGGCAGTGGCAGGTGGGTTCCCCTTTCCTGCTGTTCCCCTGGGACAGCGCTGGCAGTACAGGTGAACCAGGGGACACGCAGGGGCAGGAGTGAGCTGTGAGGGCCAGGGAGGATGGGGAAGCCCTAAGGGGCAGGGAGGGAGCCCTGGGAGTTAAAGGGACAAGGCACAGCAGGTGGCTTGATCCAGGTAGTGGGGGGGCAGCAGGGACACAGGACAGGCAGGGGCTGGCAGGCCCAATGGGACCCTTCCAGCCCCTGGCTGCCACAGTCCAGGCCCCCTACTCTGTCCCTGAGAACAGGTGAGCTGGGCAGGCTCAGAAGCCAACTTGGTTCTTAGCCATTCCCCTGATCACCAGCCCTCTAAGGGTAGGTCAGAGCAGTGCACATTACAGGGGGTATTAGCCCTCAATATGCGACTGCTCAAACCACATGCTAATGTTAACACCAATTACAAGTAGCACGTGCTAAGTGTAATGTGTAAGGCCCTGAGAGTACCAGAGGTTTGATGGCTGTAATACAGATATTTACTCTGTTGAGAGCTGCACTGAAAACACACTGATTCCTGTCTTGCTGACAGTCTGGTTGACTGTCATTCAATGCTAACCCAGGCTGAGGTTTACATGGGATTAGTGTCAGACTCCTGTTACTGAGAAGAAGGTACATACAGCAGCACAAATGTAAGCTTCAGCATGCCGGAATGTAAACAATAATATGTGCTTTTATGGTCTTGTTCTAGGTGGGAAGTCAGCCACTGAGTCCCTCCTCACAACAATCGCAGCAGGAACTCAGCCCTTCCCAAATGCAGACCAACACATCAGCACAAAACCAAACCCTCCAACAGCAGCAAAGCTCCTCAGTCCAACACACATTCTTACCCAGCCCGTGGAACTCATTTCGTAGCTACCGTAAGTATCAGGAATGTGGGAACAGTGCCACTGATTCCCTGTATCAGGCACATGTCTGTCCTTGACTGTGGATTGCTCATACATGCAGTCTGAAAGCGCTCACACAGGGGTGAGGTGAAATGGGCTTTTCATGCCAAATATAAATAACTTCTTGTACAATTCTGAGTGGCTGGAACCTTTATGTATCCTTGAGCAGCACATGCTTAAGGAGTTCTTCATCTGTGGTGACAACAGGATGTGATGTCTAGAAAAGGGGCAGATTCTCAGCTGATGGCAGTTGGAATAGCTCCACTGAAGTCAATAGTGCTATGTTGTTTTCACTATTAGAAAATTGGTTCCATGTGCCTGATTTGTTCAGCAAGGAGGGCTCAATCTTTGCAGGAAAAATTCACAAAAAGCCCAACATGTAAATCTGTGACCACGTTAATCTTGCAACCCATAGAGACAGCAGATGCCAACGTGCAATCACCATTTCATTTGAGCAGTCCTGCTGCATTGCATCCTGGAACCTCCTTTTCCACTTACCTCCACAGAAAAGCAGGGTGATCAGAGGGCATATACTATAGCACTCTCTGGGCTTGCTTTAGAACAGTGGTTCTCCACCTTTTTAGACTCAAGGCACCCTGCCGTAACATTTGTGAATTGAGCAGCACATCGTTTATATATTGTAGTGCTTACCCACTTGAAGAGCGGCTGGGAAGGCGGAGCAGTCGGCAGGGAAGAGCCTGCACTGCAGTGAGTGGGGAGAGGAGGAGCAGCTGGAAGGAAGAGCCTGCACCTACCTCTCTTATCTCCTCACTCCCTGCAGTACCCTTCAAAGGCTGTCATGGCACCCTGGTTGGGAGTCACTGCGTTAGACCTTCTGACCACTCTTATCGTCCTCCTTACTAACCTATGAGACTGTTTGACTATATTTTTTCCAATTTCTACCTTCTAGCATCTGAGATTCAGATGATGGCCATCCCACAGGGTCAATATGTGATCGCAGAGACTGCTGTAGGTACTCCTGTCACCACAGTGAATACAGGGCAAGTGAAAGCTGTCACACAGGTAAGCAAGGGGATGCAGCTTTTGTTCTGGGGGGAGGAATAAAGCTTAGCCATAAGGTCTAACCATTTTAGAGAACACCAAAACAGTAATAGGGCACATCAAGCAGAGAACATGGTAATGGTAGTGTCACAATAGGGGAGCAGTTGTATTTAAGTTGGAAGCTAACATGAAAACTGAGTGTGTCTGCATATGAGTGTGTGGCAGATGGGATTACATAATCTAAAGCATAATAGGCTTTCTGCAGTTCTTGGACCAGCTACCATATTGGGACAGAATCCATAGCCAAGAAGGCAGTCCAGAAGTGATATGACATACCTGGTCAAAATTGTCCTGGAATGAGGAGGAATGGATTAGGGTTTTTTAGACTCCTTGATGCAGAAAATGATTTGTTTAGTAGGAAGGAAGCAGTCATGTCCTTCCAGGAAGATAGTAGCATATCTTAAGAGATGAGGAAAACCGAAGGTGCTTGCAAGTTCTGAATTTGCCAGACACTTACACACACAAAAGTAACTTTGAGGAGCTGGTTTCATTGGCTACAGATGTCATGTTTGTCCTGAAATAAATCATTTTATCCTGGGACAAAGTTCAGCTGTTTAGATGTCCACATCTATTGTCCCAGAATATATCCTAAAAATGTTAGAAGTGCTAACAGTATATCCCAGGACATTGCAAAGTGTATCTGAACAATTATCTCAGGACTGCATTATTGAATCAATGGTAGAAAAGTGGCAGTGCATTCAGCTGCTCACTGAACCCTGACTAGAAAGGCGATGTTTGTACACAAAAATCCTGGGATGGTTTTGTTCTGGGATAAAGAGGCACAACTTTTCCAGGGACAAATACAACATCTGTTTCTAGCCATTGTGTTCATTGCACTGAATACAGAGACTTTCCACTTGGATAAATATTTGAAAGATCAAAGCTCAAATTATTATCAATTTTAGTTATAAATTTAGGTAATATACTTGAATTTAATTTTCAAAACAGTATTTTTGGATGCCTTTATGGTTTCAATTTCTGCATAACTGAATGGTCTGAATGACCTCTCAGCGGAAGCTTCCAATGTACTGAAAGTACCTTGAAAGAGATCCAACATATTCATGTAAAGTAGAACACAGAAAATGCAAGTTTGACTTAAGTGCAAGGTAGAATAAGAGACTTTCACAATGATTGTGAGGTAAATCCAGTTGTTTAATTTTAATTTCTAGGAGATGTGTTAATTACAGCAGGTTTTGGCCTATGGTAGATTAACCCTCCCTAAGGGAGTCCAGCATACATTATGACAAATTGAAAGTATCTTATTTGTGTTGTGCTTGTTTCCATAGTTGTTTAAACATGATACAGTTAGATCTTTCATTCATGCCAAAATATCTCCCAGCAGATAATTTATAATACATTTTAGAGAAAGTTGGGTTTTCAGCTTGTATGAAACATTTGTGTAATTTTTGCTTTACCCTGCAGACTCATTATGTGATGTCTGAAGGTCAAACCGATTTGGATGTAAAACAGAACTCTTCGCTCTCCAGTGGGGTTCAGGTGGGCGTGTCTCAGCCACCAGCCCACTCAGATCCCTTGGAAGCACAAGCAACCAATCAACAGCAAACGACCCAATACATTATCACTACGACCACCAATGGAAATGGAGGCAGTGAAGTGCACATCACAAAACCAAGAACTTTCCCAGCAGAACATGAGTGAAGAAATCCTTCAGTGTCACCTGACCATAAGGACAGCCACCCTCCAAAAAAAACCCTCCCCTGGGTCTCTTGGAGCTCATTATGTTTTCAAGTATTCGTTCACTTCAACTAACATCTTGGAGTTCTTGCTAATGCTTTAAGGGGGTCCAAAGTCTCAGCGACAATTTAAAAGGTACCCTTAAAATCCTTGCGGGGCGCCGCCATTTTATGCAGCTCTTTAATAGAAAAGAGAAGTCAGGAAATGGAAACTATGCTTGCTCTACTTTTTTGGCATGTCTGATGACCCTTATTTTCCTTTGTGGAAGTATTTACAGTGTACAACATTTAGTGTAACAGTAGAGGAGATGACTTGTCAAACAAATGGCTAAATGGCAATTTATGCTCTGTGTATATTTTTAACATCAACAGTTAAACAAAACAGCATAATTTAAACTGCCTGTGGTGTTAGCTGTATGTCGGAACTGCTCCCTCTGTCTTTGCTTTTTAAATGGCCAAGGAGGAAGGGCGCTTACCAGCTTGGTAAGGACCCAGATCACTTAGGAAGATGGAGCAGCAGCAAAAGAAAGACTCTTTGTGTGTGTGTGTGTGTGTGTGTGTGTGTGTGTGTGGGACAGACGTAACAATGAAGCTGTGAAGCTGTGCGGAAACAGTCAATTAAATTATTATTTTTGCAGCCCTTTAGAACTGTTTACATATTGTCTGCCTTGCCCTGCCAAGCAGTTCTAGGGAGAATGAAAGGTGCAGTCTTGAAACCTCAACACTTGGATGAATGGACTGAAATCATAGTAGCACATGATGGTAAACACTGAGCCTATGTTGTGTTCCCCCTACACTAACTGGAAACTCTTCTTTCACCTGTAAGCATGTGAAAGGCTCAGTAATGTTTTAACCTGCACAGCAGCTTTTGCTGTGTCCTATGATGATGGTTGTATCAGGAGAGAATGGATGGAGGGGAAACAAGTGGATGTTTTTACCCTGATTTGATCATTTTAAAGTAAGAAGGCACTCGAAAATCAGTGCCTTGCAGTTGCTGTTTGAGACACACTTTAATCTGAAACATTGGAAGAGAACCTCTCTAACCTCCTCTCCCTTTGCACACCTCTTTGCAGACGCTGAGGTAGCTATCTCTAATGCTGTCTCAAAATGTGTTTTATTTTTCCCGTGAAGGTTGGATGGAAAGTTGGTTACTCACATTTTCCATGGATCTTGTTAATGATGCACTGTAATTCCTATGGACTGTTTCATAAAATGACCAGCCTTGGACTCAGGAAACACAACAAAAAAAAAAGAACACTAGTGGACCACTATTAAAAAGACAATGAAAGCCATCCCAAAGGATTGCCTGTGTTCGTAAACCTGGTCTGTGTACAGAACTCATGTCACGCTTTGGGACCAGGAGAAAGGGAAGCTGTACCTTTAAGGCAGTTTGTTTTTCCTTAAGTTGCTCCTCTTCAAGGGTCTGGTTGGTTGGGGGTTTTTTTTTTGTCTTTAAACCAAATGGAAGGGGACCATTTTCACTTTGTTACCTGGGAGAATATGACCACAGCTCCAAGTACTGTTGATGGGGGAGATACTGTATATGCCTAAACCTCTAGAAATTCTGCCTCAAAAGTCATCCCAGAATGCCAGTATAATAGGATACATTTATTCCAGAAAGTGTAAGATTTGGTCGTAACAGCATTTCATGACATTAGAGACATCAGTAGGTTGAATAATTCTTTTCCAGTGCTGCACTGAGTGTGAATATGCAACCCTCCCTTCCATCGGTATTCCCACCGATTTTGATGGGATTACTTATGCAAGCGAGGACTCCAATCCACGCAGAAGTTGCAGTACCAAGCCCTATGAAGCTAACATTTTAACTGTAAGAGAACAAGCTGAAGTCATGAAGTAACACCATAACTGGACGACTGGAAAGCTTACTTGCTGGCAAGGCCTCATGCCACGTATCACTGTTAATACAGAGTGGAAATCATTACTGTGCGTGATGAAACAAGCCCTGTCAAAATACGGTAACGGCTCAGCATTGCTTTGGGGTAGCCTTGAAGTGATTTGCCAAAATGTAGATTAAATTTGTGCCTGGGATCTCGCTTCTTTTATCGTCCCAAAATGCTGGGGCATTAAAAAGCCTCTTCAAAGATATTAAGGGCCTGGGTCCTGATCCACACACAGTGCTTTGAAATCAATGAGTGTCTTTCTTTTTACGTAGTGGATTTGAGTCAGGCCTTTTCTTGCAGTGGTGCTAATCTACTGCAGTTCCCATTAATTTCATCCAGAGTTGTGGATGCTGAGCACTTTTGAAATTGGGCCCTTGGTGTTGTTGTTTGTGTGGGAGAGGAAGTTCACTGCCCTGTTTTGCCTCTCAGTTTCCTGTTCAAGAGAGGAGGCTTTCCTCAGACTGCCAGATGATGTAGTGACACTGTCATAAAAATTCAAAGAGCCAAATATATGGTACAAATGAAGGGAAGTGAAAAATATGGAAATGTCATGTGGCAAGTAGTTACTGTTTTATGGAAGTATTTTAAAGTCTTAAAAGGCTCAGTTTTCAGACATGAAAATTGGACCTTTTTTCCTTTAAATTGTTGTAAATGTAGAGTTTAAAAAGCTATTTTTTTTCTTTGACTTTGTTTAGAAAGTATCAAAAAATGTGGACACTTGTTTTTGTACCGGTTCTTTCAGGATGAACACAAGCCCAGTGTTGTGGAAAGCAGTTTCAAAATGGCCTCTTTGAATGTGCATCTTGCTTATCTAGGAGTCTGTCCTTTTTTTCCACAGCAGCATCATACACAAAATCACCAGCCAGAGATCAGTGTGCTGGTTCACTTCATGTCCCAAATTAATGGATGCATGAGAGGATGCTCTTCTCTGAGAATTAAGCATCATGCATATTCATTCCAAGTTAATGAGTTGTCTGATTATAATGATTACACAGATGTGGAGAAAGTACAGAAGACAGGGCCCAGTTTTGCAGCTTAGAAGTCCTGCAGCATGTCAGTACTGCAGGACCCCCTTAAACGAGAAACAGCTCTCATGGACTTCCGCAGTGCAAGACACAGGAATTTTTGCTGAACCAGTCCTAAGGTCTCTTTGTCCCCTAAATAATGTCCCATCGGAGCTTAATTCTGGAATACACTTCTTCTGCTCACTGCGAGCTAAATTCTGCCCTAAGAATATGCTAAGGGAGTCCTCCTTGGCTTCATTGGGGGTCCCTGTGCTCATGCCTCCCGAGTGCAAAAGTCGGCACCAATTCCTTACTCTCCAAAAGAATCATACCTGATTTTTTTCAAAGGATTACTAGAACACCTGGGACTAAATCGGGATGTTTCATGAGACATTGAATCTGACATACGTTGCATCATTCTGACCCTGTTATTTAAATGTGTATGTTTATTGTACATTCAGTGACTGTTATAGTGTTAATAGTCTTGTGCTACCTGGCAGGTGTAAAAACAAAAATAATAAATCTTTTCTTTTTTTACGTACCAAACATGACCTGTGCATTCAGGAAGGTGAGGTCATCTGCACTGCCACCTATATGTAATCATTGTTTCATTAAAACTTTTTGTCTCCACATCCTGGGGAAGGGACCAGGCTTTTCCTGAGTCTCCAATGCTGCACACACATTGTGGTGCCTACCCAGGATAAAATATAAGCAGATCAAATCCATCCCAAAGTTAGTCGTGTGACTATAAGTAGACACTACAAGATGACGGGTAGCCTTTGTGAGCATGGGTTTCAGTCCAGATGTCTGCAGCACAAGAAAAAAAAAAAGGAGGGGATTTGTTGGAAGTCTCAGCAAAAGCTTCACCTTGAATGCGTCAAGGAGCCTTATTATGCTCCTTTCCTCCCCAAATCCATCTTGACCCAGGGTAGAGTTGAGACGCGTGGACTAAGGTGGCAGAGGAAAGCACGCATCGCTGCTGTCCGCACTGCCTGTGTCAGTGAGACGCTGAAGACGTGAGTGAGGCTTCTCCAGAACTGGAGAGATCAATCAGGGGTGCTTAATGTACGGCCTGCTGGGCTACCGGAGGGCACTGTATTGCTGGATCCTGCTCTCCCGCTGCCCGTGGCCCTGTCTCGGCTGTGGGCTCCCGTGCTGTTGCTGGGCCCATGGCAGCTCATGGCCCAGGAGAAACCCATGTGAGTTTGGCGCCCCAGGATACACGGTAGCTGTGAGGCAGGTTGGGGGGCTGGTTTGGTAAGAGACCCTGGAAAGGCCTGGAGAGAAGGATGTCTGCGCCAGCAACCCCATGGGTTTTTTAATGCCCCGCTTGACATTTTGTGGTGCATTTTTTGCCCAAATAGCACAAAACTCAAGGATGGGTATCTGACAATATTTTCCCTTTAAGAAAGTTTCCTAGCACTATGGAAATTAAATATGACATCGTATATTGGATGCTCAAAATTATCATATTTGCTGAAAAACTATTGTACACTGAAAACAATGTGCAAATAAGTATGCGTATAAATCTTATTTTTTACTTTGTATTGCACAGCGTATTTTGCCAGTGAATGAGGGAGAACTGGGTCATAAGTTGAAGCATTTCTTTATTTCGGGGCAAGGAAGCGCTGACAGCAAGCCGGGAAGTCGGTGACGACTCCTGGGGACTGAGCTGGGCTTTGCCTTTGCTGCAACCAGCGGCCTCAAAACTTGCCATACATTTTGCAGGCGAGGCTCCTTTGAGTAGATGCGATATCTTTTATTAGAGCAACTCAGGAGTTGGAAGGAAAAAGTTATTTTTTTCCAAGTGCCTTGTTGGTCTAATAGAGGAGATCACATCTCAAAAGAGCCTCGCCGCCTCCTGTTTTTGGACAACCAAAAACCCATCCTACAGTATAGGGTACAAAAAAACTAGAACTCTCGGTTCCAAAACGATGCCTTTTATTAGACCCACTGGGAAATCGCAAGAAAATGGTCCTTTTCTGCATTTTGAACACTTTTTTCTTTACTATTTTTGATCGTACGTCGCACCAGGGGAGAAAATAATGACTGCACCAATACCACGCTGACCACGCCCGGCCAGCCCGCTCCGCGCGGGGGCAGCGGGCGCAGTCGCGGACCCGCCCGCACTGCACTGCACTGCGCATGCGTGAGGGGCTGTGCCCACTCACCTCGCGGGGAGGGAGCGCACGCGCATGCGCAGGGAGGCTCGCGGGCCTGGTGCGCGCCCCTCGGGGTGCGCATGCGCGATGCCCCCTCCCCGGGGAAGCGGAAGGAGCCTTGGCGGCCTGGAGCGGGTTCGGTGAGGGGCCGGGGCCGGGGCCGGGGCCGGGGGGCAGCAGCAGCGCCGTGTTGGGGGCGGATCTGACCCTGACCGAGTCCTGGGCCTACCCCGAGCCCAACACGGGGCGCCGGACCGGGCCCTCATGGGGATTCCGCCCCTGAACAGTCTTTTGGGCGGAGGGGGGTAGTTCCCCTCTGACACCGACTTCCTGAGGGACCCTGGGCACGTCCCTCAGCTCCTCTGCACCCGGACAAGGGCTGCCCCCCCCCAGCTGAAACCCGGGGTCTGCGTGGACCACGCTCGCAGCAGCGTCGAGGGCCGGTGCCTCGCCCCCGGTGTCGTTGTGCGGCCGGGAATCTCCCTGGGGTCCCGGCCCAGTTGGGAGAGACAGGAGTCAGTAGCTGCCGTTCACCTTTTCTGTCTGCTGTTGCGAATCCAGGTCCAACGTCTCGTGCTTGCTTGCAGGGGAGGTCGGCCCTCGCCCGCCGCGGTGCCGGCCATCGCTCCGGGCTTTTAATGCTGTCAACGTCCAACAACAGGCGCCGTGTTTCCTGCCGAAGGTATTGACCCCCGTCTCCGTCTCCGCTTCGTTTCTGAAGGGTGCTTTTCGCCTGTAAGACGCCGGATCAACCCCTGCTACACTGGGAGGGGGTGAGATCAGCGCAGCCGTTTGTCAATAAACGTGCGAGAGATGAATTCATTTTGGTCGGTTCCCATGTTAAGACTCGGGCCGCGGTCCCGCGTGCAGCCCTTCGTGGGCAGGCCCGGTGCTGCTCAGCAGCCGGCCGTACGTGGACAGCGTGTCGCAGTCTTAAGCGTAGACGCAGCCCCATGGGTCGGGGATTGGCAGCCCCTGGCACACGTGTCCATTAGTGGCGCGTGGAGACGTTTTCCCCGGCATGCCAGGAGGCGCGCAAGGAAATTGTTTTAAAATATATTTTTTTAAGTTGCTGCTCCAGGCTCTCTTAAGACGGCTGTCTGCGTCCCCAGGCTGCGCCCTCCAGCCCGGCCTGGTCTCTGGGGGAGCTGCGGGAGTCCCACCTCGGCAGGGCAGCTCCTGGGTGCCAGGGCCGGGCACTCGGGGCAGGTTGCGGGCGGTGTGGGGAGAAGTAGGTGCAGGGGGAGGCGCTGCAGGTAGGTTGGCTCTTGGGAAGGCAAGGCCTGGGTGGGAAGTGTGGCTGCCCTGGGGCTCCACAGGCTCAGGCCACAATGGACCGGCGGGCAGGGGCACCCAGCAGCACTTGAGGTGGGGCCTGGTGCAGCCTGCGCAGCTCCACGGGGATGGGCTGCAGCCACCCTGCCCAGGAGGGGATGCTGTTTGGCCAGAGCAGGATGTTGGGCTTGTGGGGCTCATGACTCTCTGCTCGGCCTCCCTGTGTGCTGTGTACACTGTGAGTGGGGCGGAGCTGCCCCCTGTGCAAGAGCCCAGCTGTGGGAAACCTCCAGGACCCCAGGAATAGCTGCTGTGGCTGCCCCAGCCTACCTGGGCCCCAGCCTTGCCCACCCTCTGCTCCCCTCCAGGGGCCAGGGCTCAGGCAGGCGCTGCACAGGACTGCACCCAGCTGGGGCAGCCTCCTGGTGGATGGCAGTGGAGGGGCCAGGGTTGTGCTGTCCCACCCTGTGCCCTGAGGCATATGTTACAATCACTGCCAGCGCAGAGCTGATCCCATGGTCCGGAGCCCCAGCACCTCAGGGTGGATGGCAGGGAAGGGGCCTGGGGTTGCGCTGCCTCAGGCCCCTCCACTACTGTCTGCTCAGAGGGGTGCACACAGCAGCCACTGACACAAAACCCATTTGGGGTCTGGAACCCACAGGGATGGCCCTAAGAGGGGGCTATGGCCACTGCAAAATTCACCTTAGTACCCCCTCCCCATATCCACCCCTCCAGCACCTCCCAGGCTGCTGCTGCCTGCCCCACTTCTGAGCCCAGCCCCCCCACCAAGGAGTACTGCACCTTTGCAGGCTCAGCTGTGGGAGGCGGGCACTGGTAGCCCTGCTGAGAGGGGTGGCTATGGGGGTGGTCAGAAAGTGGCCATAACCCCTCCCAAGTCCTCTCTAGCACCATCCCTGCAGCTAGCTGATGGGTGGGCCCTGGGCTGGGGCCTCGGTGGACTGTGCTGCAGCCTGGACTTCGGCTCCCCAGGGAAGCACAGGGGCTGGGTTGAGCCCAGGGCATCGTTGGTTGGACTTTGTCCTGCAGCCCAGCAGCCCAGCCACATGTGTGCGTGTGTACACGTGTGGCTGGTTATGTGTGCGTGTCTGGTTTTATGTGCATCCGTGTGTGTGTGTCTGGTTGTATGTGCACGCATAGTATAGGAAGTTTTATTTACTGTCGCCAGGTTTAGAAATTTTAGAAAACCTGGTATTTCTCGTCAGGCTTGCTCATCTTAGCAGATCTGTAGCTTGAAGTATAGTCTATGACACGTAATGAGAAATACTGTTTATTTCCAGGTGGGTTTTCATATGCTTACTCTTTGAAGCCCCGTTCCTGGGAAGTTTTTGTCCTTTTTGGTTTGCATTGCCTGCAAGTTTCACTCTCTTGGTAAATAAATAAATCCGATTTTTGTCGAGGCAATTCTTTAGAAATCCTGTTGGAAGTGGTGTGAGACTTTAAGCATGAGTTATATTGTCAGAGTGAATTTAACTTAAAAGACATTTGAATTCAAATCTGCATACTACTTTCTGTATGACAACATGTTTTTAATTTGGATTTAAACATTCCTCAGCTGTATTTCATTCTAGTCTTGCATTGCTAAAATCAAACTCACATGCACCAGCCCGGTCTTATTACTGCAGTTTAATGACAACAAAATACAAGCTACATTAAAAATGAAAATGATGTAACATGGAAGTGGCACAAGTAAGAACGTTTTAGAGCTATCGGTATTAATCAGCTAGTGTCCATTTCTGTTTCCCTGAGGTTCTTCATGTACAACTCAGGTCTGTGCACTTGCACATCTCAACTGAAAGTGGTAGCTTCCTGTATTTTTTATGTATTGTTGAATTTACCACTGCTAGTACATTGGAGAACAATTACCCATTCAGTATAATTGGTTGACTACCCAGTTTTATGCACCCATTTTATTAAATGCACGTTCTAAAAGAATAATTCAGCATCAGTTGCATCAGAGATTGGGTGATGGCAATAGATATGGGGATGGTTGTGTGATTTGTTTGTTTTGTTTTGTTTTGTTCAGGATCATAAGAGTGAAGAATGGATTCTCTGGATCATATGCTGACAGATCCTTTGGAGCTGG